AAAAGACCGGAGTTCACTGGCCTGTTTTAGCTTGTCGGCTGCATTAAAACCTAACCATACACAGCAATAAGTCACACCAAGGGCAGAAAAATGGTCCCTAAATAATGTTGGTTAGAAATAACATTAAAAGAGTTTAAAGTTCTAATAGAAATTGCCTTTGACTGTTATTAAACTTATGAGCTGTGCAGCAATGGACACTGTAAAATAAACCTGAACAAGTAGGATGTCACTGCTGTGCTCTCCTTCCAAACATGCTAGTTTCCTGGCTGCCATGCTGATCCAAAGCTTGAATACTTTTTGAGTTTTCAACATGGCCTCAGAATGCAGAAAACGTCTCAACTATCATGAACTCAGAGCAGCCTGCATGTCCACATGAGTAACTCAGAGCCAGGAAAATTAGTATCTTCAGCAGGCGGTCAGCAAGGGCAGCTTCTGAATTTCTCTCAGTATAGGTTTTCTTTAAAGGGTAAGTACACTTATTCTTTTTGCCCCTCCGCTAACATTTCAGAACTCACCTTCCCCCTCCACAGATTCAAATTTACTGAGATCCAGTGCTCGTTACGTATGGAGATTGTTTACATCCCGCATCAAACTCCTCTCACTGCCTGCCATGCCTTCACCCCATAGAAGTCAAGGGGGGTCGTCTCCCAGCTTGGAGATTGAGGTAGATGAGCCCCATAGAAGTTTATGTAGAGGAGCAGCACACAGCAAGAGGAGTGCAAACAATCACAGGAGGCTATGGGTGCTGGATCTCACTTGGGGTCCACCACTTCTCCAATCTATTCAAGATGCGAAAAATAAAATACATTGACATATGCAATACGTAATGAAAGTAGCCTGTGAGCACAACACCATTGTTCCCCTCTCTGCTTGGAATGACGACTGTAAAATTTTGGTCCATACCACCCAAATATATTTTCATATAGGGACTTGGGAGTCTATTGCCCCATGCTGAGCAAAGGAGGTATAAAGAAGCAAAACACTGTGCAGGTCATCTTACCCTAAGTACCTTTTCATGTATAAAAAGTCTTCCAAACAATCCTTTATGCTTTCACTTAACTAAAAACATTTACTCTTATTATTATATCTATTTGTTATTTAATAAAAGGGTAAAGAAGCAGAATTGCCCCTAAGTAATATGTACCATGCATGGATTAAGGACCTGTATATTGGCTGCTCTCTACTTCACAGATTAGTTTCGCAGTGGTTGCTTTTCTTTAAAGAGCACCTGTACTGTAGTGTTAAACATAATGCAATGTGTATTGGAGAATACTCATTGTAGAGAAGATGCTGTATTTGGCTCTTCCTCTAAGGAAGAGTAATGTATTTACTAGATGCCTGGCTAGGTAGTGCCATGGCTTCAGTATTTTCTGGAGTTTCTGACTCAGAATAAGTAGGCAGACTAGAAGTCATGACTTTCGAGATCTGCATGCTTGTTTCAGGTCAGTGACACAAGCTAGACAAACCCAAGCAATGAGCATTTTTAGATGGCCGGGAATGGCAACCTTCATTCTTCCCTCTGTACAAGTTTCCTCTAAGGCTTGTTCTAGCCCTCAGTATCTCCATGTTGTTTTCTTATTACCGTGAGTGAGAGCAGATTAACCTGTGGAACAGTTATAAGAATTCCAGAATTGATTTGTTGCTCAATACACCACACAAGAGGCTAGCAAAGAATTGAAAGCATAATAAAAAATAAGATGGAAAGTTACTGGATTGACAGTATAGAAATACAGTTGTAATCAAAATGATTCAACCCCCATTGCAATTCAGGTTTATTGGCAACATTTACAGACATTTCAGCTGTGTGCAGTGAACAAATCAAACAAAAGCAATTGAAACAAGTCAACACGACAAATGTTTCAAGTGGTTTCCCCAAATTCAACTGAAACTAAAGCTTAGGCATCATTGGACCTTCCAGCAGGACAATGATACCAAGCATCCCTCAAATTCCACCAAGGCTTGGTTGAAGAAGAAGTCTTGGAAGACTCTACAGTGGCCACCACAGTCACATCACTTGAACCCCATAGAAAACTCTGGTGGGATTTAAAAAAAGGTGGTTGCAGCACGCAAACCCAAGAATATTAGTAAAAACCGGAGGCCATCGCTCACGTGGAATGGGCCGATTCCTCAGGAAGCAGGTGTCTGGCTATGCATTTCGTTTGCAGCAGGTCAGAACAGCAAAAGGGTGCTGTGCTAAGTAGTAAAGCTGCTTGCCATGAAGAGGTTGAATAATGTTGAGACTGCAGAAGTCAATAAAAGTTGCATTTTCAGTTGAATTTGGGGAAACCACCTGAAACATTCATTGTACATTTCAATCGCTTTTATTTGATTTGCTCATTGCAAACAGCTGAAAGTCTGTACATTGTGCCAATAAACCTGATTTGCAATGGGGGGGGTTGAATAGTTTTTGATTACAACTGTAATTGCATTAATTTGTACAACCCAGTGTAAAGGTGCCCATACACACTGTACGATTATGGTACGAGAATCGCGGGAAATCCCAGTGTATGGAAGGCGTGCGACCGTTTCTACTGTACGGCCGCACGTCTTCCGTCGAACAAGCAGGCTTGAAAACCTGCCGAGAATTGTATGATTCTCGGCGGGGCGGCTTGTTCGACAACTGCCGAACGGGCCGGTGTGCGCATGCGCACACTGCCCGTTTGCAGTGATCGGAAGCCCGCCCCTCACTGCGGTCATCGGAAGCCCATGTGGCTTTCGATGATCGCAAGTACGATCTGCCTCCAAGATGGACAGATCGTACGAGCTTTTAATAAGCTTACGACCATCGCAAGACAAAAGTCTTGCGATGGTCGTAAGGTGTATGGGCACCTTTAGATGTGACAGACTCAGCTGGGATTTTGTATCTCAGAGCATTGCTTTAAGCAAACCTGAAGCCTTCCATAACCTAACATCCTTACAGAGGTTTTATACAAGAGGCGAGGGGCTTATGGTAAGCGGTGAGAATTATCTATAGTATTAGAGGTGGAGCTTCCCATCTACCATCCATAATACCAAATATACTTCAAGAAGACATAAAAAGGCCTCATTTAATAGTATAATGTTGTCTTTCTTTTTCTTTTCAGACTAGATGTGTCATTTCACAAAGCAATGCAATGAGCAGTGATGGGAAAAACCAGATTTCAACTGTCCTTTGTTTGAAGTCAGAAGAATCAGCTATCCTTGTTGGTTGTTTAGGGAACTTTGTACAGTGTTGGCTTTATTAAAGTATCAGTAGATAATTATTTTACTTTAATTTTAGCTAAAGTAGAGCCCCTGTCAGGTGTTATTTTGCCATCTGTGTCCTGTTGGAGAGATTTCACCTGACTTGCTATCATGGTGACACAACAAGAAATGAGAACAATTCTCTCTAAAGTAAGTAGTCGTCACTGGCACAGTGCCCCCATTGGAAAATCTCCCTTCCTGTTCCACTGACAACCATAACATTTTGGACTTCCTATCACCTTTTGTTCCAGAATGGGTCCCCAAGACAAATAGAGAATGTGAATCTGAAGACAAACACTTGGAATTGCTGCTGCTGCCAGGAAAAAAAAGCTAAATGTACATTTTTGTAGCATGCACTCTGCAGCTCTAAGGCTTTGCCTAGACCTATGCAACTTAAAGAGACCCTGTAACGAACTTCAACCATTGCAGACAATTCCTTAGCACAACCCCCTCCCTTCCTTGCATGTCATAGCCCTCTCTTCTTCTGGGAATGTCGATTTACTTGCTGGCCTAGACCCTCAGTCCTTCCCCTCACCTCCCTACATAACCTTTTATTTAGTTTCTGGGGTAGGAGGGAGGAATACTATAAAGTGTCACTTGGGTGACAGGTGGGGCTGCTGGCTTTACAGTCAAGATGGCAGTGCCCAGCAGCAGTCCCAGAGATTTTGATTGTCTATACAAGGGAGGCTTTTACAGGTAAATAACATGCATAAAATACATTACCTGCACATATAACCTTATGGGAATTTGTGATTGAAATGAATGCTCTGGCAACAGGGTCTCTTTAAGCAAGAAAACAGATCCACAGGTTCATATGCCCAAAATCAGGAGGTTTGTTGATGAAGAAGGAGGGACATACAAACAATGCATTTCACGCTTGATCTTAATGCTCAGTCCTAATCTTTAAACACTTGTGTGCAAAGCATGTAGATCCGCAGATCTGTTTTCTTGCTGAAGAGTGGGTTAGTTTTTCCAGTGGAGTCACAGACAGCAATAAAAACCTTAATAAAGTTCTAACCCTTTCACATTCTATCCAAGACTAGAAATTCATTTTGGCTAAAGATACACTTTAAAGACACCTCCAGGTATTCCAGTGTGAACTGCTAAGAGTCCACCAAAAAAATCTTCAAAGGTAGAGCTAAACATCATAAGAGCTCAGGAGCTAAGGATTGGTAATCACCAACACAGAAGACATGTTTTTTTCTTTTGCATATTGGCACTTGGATACCGACATATCACTAAACCATCTAAGTAGCAAATTCTTGAATCTGTAAGATAACCTCGTAGCACTGCTGTGCATGCATTTAGGTCACATACACTCAAAGGAGAGTGGTCAAATTCTTTATTAATACTTCGTTCACCATTAAGACAATGATGGATAAGGTCATGGTGGGTATGTCATCCTTTAAGTTACTGGAATTGACAAGACCCTTGCCTATTGCCATGCTATACGCAGATTATACCAGTGACATCCCAGGGTCCAGTAGGATCTACCAAGCTCCCCGACAAGGGAGGTGGTAAGGGTAAGCTGTAAACACAGGTGAGGCAAGCAGAGGCTCAGTTGTTTTCACAGAAATAAAAATCAAATCCTCATCTACAGAGGGACTTATAAAGTAACCATGGGGAACATAGCTATACCATGAGTGGGTCATTTCTTAAGCCTGCAGTTGAATATTTGCTTACAGACACCTTCAGTTTTAACTGACTATAGGAAAAAGTGAGGGTATCCCTCTTTGTTTAATCAGTTAAGAGTATTGTGTTATACCCGTTGGTTTACAACTTCGAAATACATTCATAAGGGTTGCTTTTTTTTCTTCAGATAATGCTCTGATCCAGCAGACTATTATATTAAGAAACATCTGCCCCCAAATTATAATAAGGGTCAATCTGTGGCCCGATCCCTTCCCCACACAGCGGGACAGTGCTGTCCAATCTTTGTCCTTCCACCTCCATGTCCAGAAGGGTCTCCTCAGCTCCTCCCACTTGAACACCATCTGCAGATCCACTTGAGCTGGCTTCCCCTCCGCTACCGGATGGAGATGAGCTGTGAGTCCGAGAAACTGACACAAATTTCCAAGGGTCTAGTCTTGGGCGGCCAGCAGAAGGGCGAGGCCTAGGGGCAAATTCTAAGGTGGTGGGTCTTTCAACTGCAGAATCCTTGTCTTGCGGTTTACGTCGCGCTGGAGGGGGAAATACGAAGTGGGGGTCTGGCAAACGTGGAAAAGGAGCGTTCTCTTTGGAACCTATGAGAAAGAAACAAAGCAAATTTTAAACTCAGGGTTTAAAGTGGACCTTATAGTAACTTTAAAAGTATGCAGGAATAAATTCCCAACTTGTCACAATTAAGAGCAACAATGTGATTTTTCGAAAACACTTTTTACCATTAAAAGTTCCTGATGTCTGATCTGGGTGACTCCGAGCTCCTCTAGCTCTTGGTGGGTGATGTGTAGTAGTTGCCCCCCATTGATCAGCTCAGAAGCTGACCCACTCAGAAGCCAGTTGAAAAAACGGTGCGTCTTTAATAGGGACCCTGGGACCCAACACTGCCCCGGGCCTCCTAGTCCCCCAATTAGGGGGGGACATCAATCTTTTCTATAATTTTTGTGTGCCCAACTGGATCCAAGTTTGTAATAAACCCCACCCATGCTTGAGCTAAGCCTTGTCACTTGCACAATGCCATAGCCATACTTGACCAGCTACTGAATGACGAGGCAGGGCTCGGCACTGAGAAGTAGCAGAGTTTATTGGGCAGAAAATAAGCTTTTGTATGTAGCTGATATCCAGGTTCATCCTGAGTGCATGCAAAGATCACAATATGCCCGCAGTATGGCTACTTTTGTTCCCCATGGTCCCTGTGTGTGTTGTAAAGTAACCACCGCTCCAAGCTTGCTGCCATTATAGACTACAATCTCAATAGAAATTAGTAAACTAAATGTGTGACTGTAGTCCATCACGGGAGCAAGCTTGGAGCGGTGACTACTTCACAACACACACAGGGACCATGGGGAACAAAAGTAGCCCCCCTCCAGAAGGAAGGAAAGTGTCAGCACCAATTCAGAGATGATTTGAGGATCTACAGCCGAGTAATACACAAATAAGATACATTTTTGTTAATAGTTAAGGTACCTAAATGCAATTTTAAGATTTAAGCCCTGAGTTTAGTGTCACTTTAAGCATGACTGGCTCCTACAAAAACACCTTCACTTCCCTGGTGCTAGAGGGTTTGTAAATCTTTCCAACATAACAAATTACAAGCACTTGTCCAACTTTGGTGCCACAGAATTTCATACTGACCTGTGTCACATAGCTGTGGTGGTGTGCTGCCATCTGAAGGTGAACGCCTATGACCAGGTGTCACCTGCCGTATAGCCCCATCAGATGGAGTCCTTCTGTGACCCCTGGTTGCTGTGGCATTAGCTCTAGTGGCTGTGACGTGAGTGGGAGTCAAGGACTGTCGGGGGTCCCTCTTAAAACTTTCCAATTTGTAGTCCACTAGTGGGTTTCGTCCAGAGGCAGCCTGCTCCATACTGGGCTCCGCGTCTGCAAGCTCTCCACAGGGCGTGTTATCATTGGCCAGTCCAGTGTCATCACTATCTGAGCGTATGAGGGACTTGGTGGAGTTACAGTCTGAGATGGAAGACAATGAGATGAGCGTGACTGAACTGGGAGGAATGACTGGCTCCTCTTTAGATATGGAGTGGCTGGGAGAATTACCACTACGCTTGATGCCTCTTGCTGCCCACTGGAAAATGCCCTTTCTTTTCTCTTCCTGGGGCACCAAGTCTGCCAGATCACTGCCTAGTGCTACAGCTGCCAGAAGAGATGCGCATCCCAATAACACCAGTTCACTCTTTCTGCGGGACTGTGAGTTGCGTTTGGGACTGTCTGAAGACGATGCTGTAGACAGACTTAAATCTTCATTGTTACTCCTGGCATCGGACTGGAGGGGTAGTGTGAGGTAGGACTGTGTGGAGTATGGGGATTGGGGAACAGAGCCTTCACCCTCTGCATATTCCTCTGGAATGAGAAAACGAAAATGTTACAGTGAACTGGTCATGACAGATGTATAGATGCTTCTAATACTGGTACTGACTTATTTCTGAAGCAGCAAGTCCCTAAGATCTCTGGTTTAAAGTGACCCTTCCTTTGCATATGCAGGTCAAAGTAAAAAAGTCACTTGCCTCTACTCCGCTTTAGCTGCAGTATTCGCCTATCTTTGCTCCCCCACAGCTTGATTTGGCGACCGAGAGGGAAGTGAAATATCCAGCACTACTAAGCATGAATGAGGATGTGACTCACCTCCCTCCCCTATGTGACAGCTCGAGGTGACTTGTAATTGTCCCATAACCTTGTGTGAGCATCAACATGTCAGTTTGTAGCTTATACAGGACTTTCTTTCCCCAGTGCAGATACCTAAAGGGAGCACCATGAGAGCGGGGAAGGGGGAGTAAAAACTGCCAGAGAGAGGAGGGAGGCGGAAGTCACCATCTTACTTTGCCTGCATGGAGAAAGGGGGGTTATTTAAAGTGATATTAAAGTCAAAAGGATTTTAAGCTATTTCAAATGCTGATGAAATCACTTACAATGGATGCTGCTTCCTGAGGTTTCAAAGTTTTAGTTTCCCGCAGAACAAGCTGAGCACTGGTCCGGACATCCAGTTTTAGAGTGACTCCTTTCTCAAGCACAGTGCTATGCAGTGACCCTTGTGTGTGCCAGTAAGCTGCAAGCACCTCCACAAACACACAGACACCGCAAATCAAGCTACTTCCCTCCCCTCTGGCCCCTTTCCTCCCTCTACCCTTCTCCAAGCCAGTAGATGAACAGTTGCTGGAGTCTGCACTGTCCTTTGTGAGCTTGTACTGGAAAGGAAGTTCAGGGAAGCAAGGCTGAGAGACTTGGGGCCAGCTGTTCAGAAACATGATGATTGTAAGTGTTTGGGCAAAAATGTAAAGCAATGCTTTGCTAGGCAATGCATATTTGTTTGATCTGGATTAATAGTCTAAAGGTGAACTATGGGGTTAAGGCTTTTCCCCATAGTTCTCCTTAGGGAGATGCTGCAGCTGAAGTGGATCCCGACAATTATGCCGGGATCCGCCCAGCTGCGTGACTAACAGCTGGCTCTGCCTTTCTAGAGGCAGAGCCAGCTGTACCCTCCCCCGTCCGTTCCGCCAGTCAGCGCTGGCGGATCGGAGCAGGGAGGGGGGAATCCAGCCCCTCCCCTGTCACGGCAGAGAGCTGTGACAGGATTGAGAAGAGAGCGAACGCCGGTATGTGTTCGCTCACTTCACGATCTACTGAGCCGACCTGTGACAGTCTCATTGTCACAGGTCGGCTAGAACTATGAGGTGAGTGAAAAGCACTCACCTCATAGTTCTCCTTTAATACTACTTTAAGTACTGAGTAGCAAGAAACAAGCATGCGGGTAAAGGGTATGGTTTTATTTGGCTGCATATGAGTTCAGAGTTAGTCACGTACTAATTACTGAAGCTGAGGATGATAATGACAACCAAGAAACTTGTGTGTAAAACAAGTTGGCAGTGTATGCGCCCATATATTTTACAGCATTGCTTTATGGTAGAATTACAGTTTGGGGGAAATTCTTCTGGAATATGTACAGTTTATACACTGTGCAAATGTCACCAATGCATTTTATTTTGTAAACATTATCTCCCACGTCTAATATTTTTGCTGCACTTCTATCTGAACAAAATTCTCACTATCTGCCACATTTCTGTCTACAGGTTTTGTACTGAAGGTAGCAATAGTTTTTCCTCTATACCAGTCAACCATCCAAGGTAGAAGATATTCAAAAGTGACTCCACAAGCCATAGCTGAATGCTGATCTTACCTAGCCAATATACAAAAAACGAGATAGTGTATTTGTTAAGCTCTGACAAACTAATCTGTTTGGTTACCATGGCGGCAAGTGTTGTTTTTTATCCATATAAAACTACAACAGCGGCATGTCAAGGTGTCGCACTTTAACACTCTACAGTATTTTTAATAAATCCAGGGGCCCATATCTACATCACTCATCCACATCTTCTTTTTCTAGCATTGTAAAGCTTCCCTCTGTCACTGAGTATGTGCGCACCTGACAGATACGGCAACAAAGTATTTCAGAGGATTACTATACAAAATTCTGGATGCAAACAGAATCTACATAGTCCTGTCCTGTGACATATCATATAACAGGCATAATCTGCCAGAATCTTACATTATGGTCATGGAAAATATGATGCATTTGGATATTTCCTTTAACATTTCCTAGTGTTGCCTGCCAAATAGATAAATGCAATGCAGCCATGCTTCTAGAACCAGCTATACATTCGGATCTGAGGCTAACCCTACTAAAGCTGACCACAAACGTTACAAACCCATTGTACAATCCCCTTTAGATCTACTAACAACTATGTAGTGCAAGGCCCTGCCTGATTGGATACAGATTGGTTGAATAGATTAGGTAGGTCCTCATATTGTACAGTTTTGGTAAATCTAAGTTAATATTACAGATGTCTGTGAAGGTTCTCATTCATCCAGGTCATGGTATATCTCTAAGAAATAAGTCAAGGCAACTGAACTTGCTGTATTTTTCTTGAAGACGTTTTACTGGTCATCCAACCAGCTTTCTCAATTCAGAATGACTTGTACAAAAATTATCTGGGAATAAATATGGTGAATGTTGCTCCAATCCATATAAATAATATATTAATATTACAGAGATTGTATGGGCAGACTGTAAGGTGCATGGTGAAAAAACGTTCAGAAAACAAGGATTGAAGCACTGGATCATCAGTACATAGTTACTACTGAATGCTGTTAAATGCTCACTTTACTTAAGCAGGAACAAAAGGCAAAGCATGCATTTAGAACTTCTTACATCTTAGACATGATTAGATGCAAAACTAAATCTGACCGCTAGAGGGGGAACTTATCACAGAGACTGCAAGCTATTAGATTTGTCTGAATGTTAGACAAATTCACACACTGCACCTGTTCTGCATGGTGCAATCTTTCACATTACCCCCATTCCTTAATCTGCTTAAATAAAGTGTTTCCCTAAAGATGTACTCCAGGTATAAATGATTGTGCATACTTCTATTGGTCCAGCTTGTCATACCATACATATGTCATACCTGGCTGGCGAATCGGGATTCTGTAAAGCACTTTAGAAGCCGGGGTTACTTCAGTGCTGGCCACAATCTTCCGGGTTGTGGTACTGAGCTGTTCTGGGCGGCTTCCCCTTTCCTCTAAAAACACAGGTGGTTGCTTTCTTGGCACAGTGGCCATTCAGAGAAGGCCTAGTATTTTTTATTAATGAATTCAAGGGCATTCTCTGATTGGACAAAGGATAGTGATGTCTTGATCCACCCCTCATCCAATAAGAGAACCCCTTTGGGGGGGTATTTATCAAAACTGGAGCAGACAAGATCTGGAGCAACTGTGCATGGCAACCAATCAGTTTCTATCTTCATTCAGTTCGGTTAAGATTTGAAAATGAAAGAGAGGCTGGTTGGTTGCCATGTACAACTGCTCCAGATTTTGTCTGCTCCAATGTTGATAAATCCCCTTCTAGGAGTTCTTTGAATAGCCGCCGTACTGAGCGAGCAACCCCCCGAGGGGAATTTATCAAAACTGGAGCTGACAAAAACTGGAGCAGCTGTGCATGGCAACCAACCAACTTCTCTCTTTCATTTTCAAATCTTAACTGAACAAGCTGAAGAGAGAAGCTGATGGGTTGCCCTAGGCAACTGCTCCAGATTCTGTCTGCTCCAGTTTTGATAAATTCCCTCCTCTGTGTTTTCAGGGCAGAGGGGAAGCCAGTCAGTACAGTTTAGTACCAGGAACTGGTAGATCACTCTCAGAAATGCCGTAGCTCTGGCTACTATAGTGCTCTACAGGATCTCCAGCGGCCAATCAGGTATGACATATGCATACTTACATTTGGCCAAGCTGGATCAATATAAGTATGCCTAATACTATATACCTGGAGATCACCTTAAAATATGCTTAATCTGTATTAGCTCTTCATTCAGTCTATGAATCTTACCCATTTCTGTCAGACTTGCAAAACCCACACTAATAGGTGTGTGCTTAGGTGACTTTCCAAGGTTGGGGGCACTGTTAGACCACTGCTTGCTGCCTTCTCCGAGTGCCTTCAGCCTGTGAGGAGGACAAGGAAAGGTTTAATGCTGAGAATGGAAGAAAAGGACCATATTATATGGAGACAGAATTCTACCAGATGCCTAATGGTTGATATACCCCTAAGCATGGGGTCCTTCTTTTGGTAAAATATGAGAGGGAGTCCTGTCATCAGCTCTCTAAGGTGCTGACCTTCATTCCTCAATGAATGATAAAAAAAAAAACATAGCTGCATCACCAGAGCTACTGTGTAAATCCTTACTTCACGTGATCATGCCCATTTGTGGGTGGCCGGGGAAAAAGTGGATGGTGCCATCAAATTAATTCTAAGAAATCTAAATTGTCAGCACTCCTGTCACAACCACAATTATAAACCCACAGAAAGATTACTGTACCATAAAGGCAGACAGAGAACCACCTATGGTATTGCGTCTGCCTTTATACTACTGTATTATTTGTACAGATTTATAATAAATTGCAGGCAAGATTGCCACACTGGTAGATATCTAGGCATCATAAGACATATTCATTCATTTCAAACATGTCTTACCATGCCCCATACTTTAAATGACTTTTGTGCTTAGGTACTGGTACTTTTTCTTAATTTACTTGTCTTTTGGACATGGGTGGAATGTAAAACAAATGAATAGCATTTTTGTGG